TGATCACCAGATGGGACTGCACAAGGCTGCTGAGGCTGCGACGGTACGTCCTGTTCAGCCACTTGCCCACCACCCCCAGCCCGTAGTAGCGTTTCTTGCGGTCGAAGGCGAAGTGCTTGACCTTGGACGCGATGCGCCTGCCCCGCCGCGTGGCCGGGCCGCCGGGGGCCGAGGGCAGCCGGGTGCCCTCCCGCCTGCAGAGAGAGGAGAACCCCACCAGCTGAAAAATCCCCCTTGGGCAACCCCACGGCTGCACCCCAGAGCTGGGGCAGGCCAGAGGATGCTTGGGATGAAGGCTTAAGGGAAGCTTTTGGCTTCAGGCTCCTGGGAGCAGGCTGGAAGCATCTGGTGCTCCACAGCTAAGGGGCAGCTGGGGATGCTGTCCTGACTGCAGCAGGGGACCTGGGCAGCCTCAGGGGCAGCACCCACGGAGAGCTGGTACTCACGGGGTGGGCTGCTCCACCTCAGGAGACAGCCTGGCATCCTCCCCCACTGGGTGCATGCGTAAATACGTGGCTGATAGAGGTGGTGACTCAAAGACATCATCAGGCATGGAATATGTCTCATCGTGCATGTCCATCTGGAAGGAGGATGGAGATGTTCTTAGATATGTGTGATGGGCAAGAAAGCTCCTTCTGCACAAGCATGTCCATCACCAGGGCAGCCTGGCTTCACCTGGCTCTGGCTCCCAGGAAGAGGGGAATCCCCATGGACATCCCACTAACTTCAGGTCCCACGATGTGACACAAGCCCACAATGGCAGCATCACCCCCTGCCACCCCCAAATAGCATCACTGAGACCAAGGCTCCTGCACCCAGAGCAGGATGAAGCATCAACACTGGGGTCCCCCTGCCAGAGCCCTGCTCTACATCCAGCCCCCTTGCAGGGCCACCAGGACCCCTCCTCACTCCAGTGGCTGGCATGGAACGGCGCTTGCCTTACTGAAGAAGGACGAGTCCAGGGTATCAGCAGCATCCACGACGTCGTCATCCATGGAGCTGGGGTACACGAAGCTCCTCTTGTTGCTCCTCTGCTTGGGAGCCAGTGGCTCCAGGACAGAGCGTCCCTTCGGCAGCAGAAAAAAATGAGGGTGAGCAACCAGAAGCCCCTCAGTTTTCAGAGCACCAGGGGTTTCTCATAGCCTTCTTCCCCAGAGCAGAGTGGCAAGCATTAAATCCCAGCCAGCCACCATATCCCCCCCCTGCATGGGAAGGATGTGCAGCAGGAGCTGGCAGCAGATGCTGCCTTTAGCTCCCAAGAGCCAGCGTTGGACCAGGACCGTGTTAGTCAGCACAACAAGTGAACTCTAAATCCCCTGTTTGGTATTGGTCCCACAGACCCGACCCTGAAGCTTTCCCAAGGGCTCTCCGAGCACTGGGAAGCCACTGCAGAAGCTTCCCCTGCAGTAAAAGACCTCCTGGCTCCTCAAGAGTGAAACCCAGAAGCTGCTTTTTTCTAGGGATGCCAAGATAGTTCCACTTTGGTGGTTCAGCTTTCACCAAAATTTCTCTTTTAAAGCAGAGCTCAGGTTAAAAACCTCCCCCCTCAGCCCTGCCCTAGAGAGACCGTGCAAAGCAAAAAAGCCAAGAAGCCAAGATGCTGGGGGGTGAGGGACAGCACTGAAACCCAAGTCAGGAAGATGCTGACCCCCTCCAGCTCCCCAAAACTCACGCGGAGAAGGGCTGCAGCTGCCTTGAAGCTCATGTGGGCGACAGACTCCCTCTTCCTGCGCGGCAGGCGGCCGTAGCCCGAGCGGATGCTGTTGAAGGATGCCAAGGAGATGACACCAGGGGTGAGTGGGGGCAGGACGTGGTGGGGCGTGTGGGGACGGTCGGCCTCGTCGGGATGGCGGAAGGGTCGGCCCCTGGCCAGCGGGTCCACGATCTGGAGGAGGGAAGAGGTGTCGGCGCTGGGAAAGCGACGCTGGGAGCCGGACTTGGTGCTCTCCGAGCTCTACCTTGGGCATCTTGGTGGGCTTGGGTGACTCGGTGCCTTGGAAGGAGGGGGCCTCCTGGCTGGGCAGCTCCATGTCGCGATAGGCAGGCTTCAGCTTGCCGTACCTCATGCTGCAGTGCTGCAGGCTCTTGCGCTGCCACTGCTGCCGCTTGCCCTCCCAGTCGCTGCTGATGCCGAACCACTGCGCCGTGCCCCTGCACACACAGCGGGGACACTTGGCATCCTGCTGGTCTCCTCAGCCCAGGTACTGCCATCCCACCCAGACATCCCCCCCTGGTATGTGGTTTGGGTTGGGGTGCCTCAGCTCAGCCCTCAGCAGGGCAAGTTTTGAGCTGGCCATGGGTCAGGAAGGGATGCAGCAGAGCAGTTGCTGGCCTTCAGGTCTCTCTGGAGAGGTAACTGCATCAAGGCTTGCACCTTGCACAGGACTGTGCATCAGCTCTGGGCTGCTGCAGACATCCAGCCCAAGGTGCTTGTGATGGTTCTGTGCACACAGGGCTGAAAAATGTCCCCAGTGTACAAAACAAAGGTGTGAATGAGCACCACACAAACCTGCAGGCAACCAGGGAGCCAAAACAGAGCAGCACAAAACCCTCCAAGGTGTTCCTTTCCAGGCTGAGACACTCCATCCCCACCCCAAGTCCTCCGCCAGTACCCACAGAGCCACACCACCCTGAGAGGGACCAAGGGACACCCTCAGTGACCTGGCACTCACTTGCGGATGCTCTGGGACAGGGAAGTCTGGCGCTGGAAGCCGGGGCGGCGCTCCGAGCGGGGCTCCTGCAGGCTCTTGCTCTTCCGGTAGATGGGGACCTTGGAGGGCTGGAAGGCACAGCAGGACATTAGGAACAGGATGGCACCAGGGACAAGAACCTGCCAAGCCCAGTGTAGGCTGGGAGCAGGTCCCTGTTGCTCACCTCCTTGTGGGCACCATCCTCCTCTGTGTCCCGGGGGGGGATGATGATGGAGAGGTTTGGGGGTTTCTTGCTCTGCAGGCGGCTGCTGCTGCTGGAGCGGCTGCCCCCGTTCTTGTCGCTGGCTGACATCTCGGGCTGGTGGGAGCTGGCAAACTGGGGGGTGCAAGGAGTCAGCAAGAGGGGAAGATACATTCCCCAGGAGCTCACACGTGGGGGGAGGTTGGGTACCAGGGGGAGAGAGAATCACAGGGTGGTTTGAGTTGGAAGGGACCTTAAAGATCGTCTAGTTCCCGGCACGGGGGACAAAGTGAGAGGGGCTGGGGCAGCCTGGGACACCTCAGGCCACAGAGCCTGCCAGGCTTGGGATGCCCTTTGGGAAGGGAGATGCGGGACATTCCCCTTCAGCGTGTGCATGAACACACCAGGCTGGGAAACTGAATCCTCCGGGGCACCACGTGCAAGGTGAGGAAAGCTTAATAGCCCAGAGGTGATTAATGCCTTGAGCAATCTCCTCCTGAGGGTCCCTGCAGCCCAGCTCTACCAGGAAGGATCTCGCAGGAAAGGTAATTCCATCCGAGCGGGAGTGACTCCTAGATCCTATTAGGGGCTATGGGGGCCTCTTCCTGTCCCCCCCAACCACGTGCCAGTGCTCAGGGGACTCACAGCTCTTACAAGCCATGGCCATGGGGATGGTGCCACCTGCTGTGGTCACCCCATGTGACAAGCACCGAGCCCTGCTACTGCATCCCCACGGGATCTGCTCCGGAGGGAGATGGGAGCTGGTCCTCAGCACCCGAGGGGCATGACAGAGTCCCCTAGAGGGACTGGGTATCCCACTCCTCTGCTGTCACCCACCACCACTGAGCTGGGCTCAGAGTCCAACAGTGCCAGTGGTTGCAAACCCTGGCTTGACCCCTGGGCCTGACCCTTCTCTGCCTGGCAGCCCAGCACCCAGCCCAGCCACGCAGCCTCACACCCCACCCTGCTCCTGTAGGGTCAGCATGCTCGACCAGCCCCTCTGCAACAGGGTTTCCCCTTGGCAGCACATGCCTGGGCAGGAGGCAGGGATGGGGCACTTTTGTAGCTCCCCCAGCACAATCTCAGACCCCAACACGAGCAAAGTCCAGCTTTAACAGCACTGCATCCCCATGGGACCAGCTCCCTCGGGACTCTATAGAGACCAGGACAAGCTTCCTGGGGATCTGGAAGCCCGGAGGTGGTGGCACTAGAGGGCATCACTGCCCTCTGTGAGCTCCTGGGCCAGGTGACAGCCTGCTCCTCCTGCACAGCTTAAGATGGGTGCTGGGCTGGATGGGGCAAGACACTGGAGACATGAGACACATGTGGCAGGGGAATGTCAGACGTGACCCAAGCAGTGGCTTCACTGAGGCCCTGCACTGAGGGCTACCAGCAGCCCCAGCTGGCAGCAGGGCAGGGTCCTCAAGCCCAAACCAACCCTGCTCCCCTCTGGCCTTAGCAATACATCAGTTCCTGGTGGGGATGTGGACGGGAAGACATGAGGCAGCTGTCACACGATGCAACTGGGACCTGGCAAGGTGCTGCTGGAGACAGCATCCTGGCTAGCTGAGTGCCTTCCCTCCTCCCCTGGGTGGCCCAAGCAGCACCCTTGGGTGCTGCCAGCAGCTCAGCTGCAGCTTTAGACCTTGCTACCATTTAGCACCAAAGCTGGGAGCAAACAGCCCCCAAGTTTCTCCTGAGAGCTCAGGCAATGCCAGGCTCCACCAGGGTGTCCCTACCTCATACGAACGGCAGGGATCCCGTGTAGTGTGTCTCAATGGCAAACACCCGTGCTGGCCTTCCTCTTCTTCCTCCTTATCTGTCCTTCATGCACTGAAGACCCAGGGCACAGCCAAGATTCTCCTTCCTTGCCTGCTGGGGAGAGAGGCTGCAATGAAAAGCCATGCAAGAGAAAGCTGAGGGCTGCAGGAGCATCCCAGGTGGAGTGAGAGCTGAGGTTAATGCTCCCCAGACCCTGGGGACAGGGCTGCTGGTGGCTGAAAACAGAAAACACAGACCAGCCACTGGCACAGGGCAGCAGGAGGAGGAAAAGTTGTTGTCTGCAGAGATACACCTCGCTCAGTGGCAGGGGAACTGTGTGGGGCAGGCAGGGAGCTTTCACCTGCTGCTGCCAGGCAAGGCTCTGGGGAAGTGAGAAGTCTGGGAAGAGCAGGCAGGAACCTCACCGAGGTATTTAATAGCTGCTAAGCTGGGAGAAGGCCAGTCGAGCAGTCCAACCCCATCAAGCAAAACTTTCCATCCAACTAGTGAGCTGGAGACATTGTTTGTTTTCCTCCCAGGGCAGCCAGCAATGAGCTGGAGATGCCAGCTGCTCCAGAGAGCCAGGGATGGGAACACAGTGGAGCTGGAGCAAGCCCTGGGACACCCTCATCCTCCTCCTGCCTGGGGAACAGCCATCAGTGGTGGGGCCCCACACAGCCAGGAGCACAGGAACTGTGGACAAACTATCATCCAGAGGTGCAAGGGGACACTGTGCTCTTGCATGGCCCCACTCTTAACACCCCTGGCCCAAAGTCCCATCCCTAATTGCTCCCATCACCTCCCAGGCAGCCCTTGGTGAGGCTCTCCCTGCTTCCTGGCAAAGCAGCTTCACAGCTGTTCAAATCCCAGCCCAGTTCCCATGGGCAGCACTGGGTAGGGACAGAGCCAGCCTCCCCCGGGGGAGGTGACGCAGGTCCTGGGGGAGCTGCCACATCCAAGCACCTGCAGGGAGAAGGAGGAGGAGGAGGAGGGAGGGGAGCAGCCCCTAAGGGCTGAAGTCCCCTTGACCACTGAGGCTGGGGACAGCAGCCACCACCCAAGCACAGATCCTAAACCTGCAAGAAGGTTTACCCTGTGCCAGCTGGAGAAATCCCCCAGGGATGGGGCTGGGAAGGTGATTTCCAGCTCCCCACGTGTTCGGTGCTGGTGCCCAACCTCTCCAGAGCTGGCACTGCTTGTTCCCAGCATGCTGGGCATGAGAACAAGTGAGCTGGTGCCTCCATCCAGAGCAAGCCTGCCATGAGCTCAGCCCTTTGGTCCCCTGTACTCCCCCAGATCCCCTTTGCCCTCCCTATGGCACCAGGAGCATCGTTCTCCTGGTACTTTCAGCCCAATCTGCAGGGCAGTATGTGGCTGCCCCTCGGTGCTTCTGGTTGCAGGTCACCAGGGAGCCTCAGTCCAGTCAGCATGGACGAGGTGGCTCTGCCCTAGGGACAGGAAAGGGAAGTGAGAGGTGACGTGCTGAGCTGGTATGGGGGGATGGCTGTGCAAACGTTCTGCCCCAGGGACAAGGCTGGTGACACCAGTGGGAGAGTGATGGACATGGGATGCAGCACCCAGAAGCACATCCCAGCCTTCTAGGAGCTGTGCTTGGAGCTGGAAGAAAGATCCTGGGGGAAGTGTGGTGTCAGTTCAGGCTGGAAAAGATTTCCAGAGAGAGGAAAAACACACTGGGGACACTGCCATCATCCATGGGGTGAGGGGTGGAGGGGCATAACCCAGTCTGGTCCATAAGAAGACACCCACCATCACCATCTTCCCTCTCAAAGACACCCTGTTCACCAAAACCTGACATCCAGCAGTGAGGGACACTGCTCTTACCCCCAAAACAAAGGGGTGAAGCCCCCATCCTCTCCCAAGAGGGCACTGGTGAGCAAGTGGAATGAGGTTTCAGTCTTTACTCAGGCCTAGCACAGGGAGGGCAGCCAGGGCTGGGTCCCAGCACAAGCCCTGGGGTCCATCATGACAGGCACTGACCCAAGGAAGAAAATGATGGCAGAAGTGATGTGGCTTGTACAAGGCGTCACTGTGGGACGTGCTGGGATGCTCCAAGCAACACAAAGGGTCCCCCAGCAAAGCCAAATGACAACCTGCTGAGCAGAGCTGGGGATAACCAAACACAACCCTCCTACAAGACACCAGAGACAACCCTGCAGAGCAGCCCTGGTGGGAGGGGGATGTGTGCAGCACCCAGCAGCTGCAGAGAGGCTTGGAGAAGGATCAGGATGGCTCTTCCCAAGCCTGGTGGTGCAGGGGGAGGCAGCACCACCAGCACTAGGAACACAAGTGCATCAGCTTTGACCCACCCAAGGGTGGGGGGCCAGGAGAGAGGCCCCCCGTGAGCACCCACCACCCTGAGCACGAGCTCTTCCCTCTCCATTGGAGAGTGAACAAGGGGTCAGACATGCTGTGGAGCCCCCCAAAGCCCCCCAAAGCCATGGCCAACACTGACACCCAAGGGTCCATTAGGAAGAGCTGCCGGCGGCTGCACATCAATGATTCACGAGCACATCAAAGACCTCGCTCAGGCTGGAGCCTCCTTAAAAGGTGCTCCTGGTTATTAAGAGCTCTGGATAGGAAGGAAATGGTCCAATCTCTTGGAGCATCCAGCCCCACAGATGTGCACCCAAGCAGAGGACCCCCAGGGCCTCCCAGCACCTTCCCCTGCTTCTCCCTCCCTTTCTAAAAGCTTTTCATCATTTTCCAGTCTCAAGTTTCAGAGCAGGGAGAAGCTGCCCAGCTCAAATGGCTCCTGATGTGAAAAATTCTGGGATGGGGAACTAATTATCAATGTATTTATTTTTTTTCTTCCTGGAAAGCCTAGACCCATGAGTCTTAGTCCCTTGTGGACCCACTCAAGAGCAGCCAGGCTCTGACTGCTGCCTCCCTCCTCCCAACCTCTGCTTATTTTTCATGCTTCCACTGTTCAGGCTTTCTTCTACATAACAAAATACACTTGATGGCCCTGCTGCAGGAACCCTCCTGTCCCTCAGAAGGTCTATTGTGTCACTGTCTAGCACAGAACAACCCCCCCCAGCCCAAGCACAGCCACTTCACACCACAGCATCAGCCTGTTTTTTTTTACTTCCACCACCCCCACAGAGAAGACAACTCCATCTTTGACCCCAACAGGATGGAACACACACCTGCACGACGCCAGGTTTTGCTTGGGGACTTTGAGAGAGGGACGCTGGGTTTCAGGGGGGGTTTCAAGCTGCCCCCTCCCTGAGCCTGGTGGCACCAAAACCCGCAGGAGCTTTAACCCCCCGAGTGCAGAGCAGCGGTAGCAAAGTGGGGCACAAACACCTGCTGGGGGTGTGCAGGGAGCA